CTCACTTTCCATCAGCATCGATCTGGATTCACCAGTTAACTAAAGGAATTTCAAGTGCTAATCAAGGAGATCATATTGCAACTAACAACTCTCGCATGTCAAAGAATTCTACTTTTTTCAATGCCAGCGATGCCTCCAGCAATACTTCGATTGTACTGTTCATAAATAGAATTATCAAATTACTCTACAACAATATTATTCCAATATTTGTTTTTGATGGAGGAATTCCCGCTTTAAAAAGAGATACTATTATTCAAAGGAAGGCTATGCTGATGGAAAGTGAGCAGAAAAATATAATAAAGGGAATTGTTGAAAACAGAATATGTGGGATATGTAATATCAAAATGAGGATATGTGAGCATGGAGGTGAGATAAGGTCTGATATTCTAGGGAAGACAGAAAAGATTGTAACCGAAAGATTAAAAAACCACAGCTATAATTGGGGGGATGACAATGATAGCTCATACTCAAATGATCAAGAAATTGTTAGTATAACAGAAAATGAGTTGAGTAATCATCAAATACTATCCCAATACAGTAACTCTTATGATCTTCCTGACAACTCCCTATCTAAATCAAAGAAGTTAAAGAGATTAATAGAAATGCGTATAAAGCGTAAGGAGTCCCTTCCACTTGATAACAGCAGTGACATTAATTTTGTGAAAAGTCAATTGGAGAATGTAAAACGAAGAAATATGGTGAATGTACTGATAAGAGAGCTCAATGGAGAAAGTAGATTAATTCAGAGTGATTGTAAAACAATTGCAGAAATAAAAAATGAGTTAAAGAGTGATGTGAATAAAAGCGAGATTAATTTGAAAAACCAAACAACAAACTCTAATTATGGCATTGAAGATATAGAAGTAGACTCAGGTGTGAAGAAGTCAGTGAATATCGATGATATTATGGGAGATTATAGGCTATTAATTCAGGAATATAAAGATCATTGTGATAATAAGGATAAAGTTAGTGAGATGGCAGTAGAACACCAAAATAGTGATATTATATTGGAGAATGATTCAGTTTTGTGCAAAAGTTTGGAAGAAATCAAAGAGTACTTGAGTTCTAAATATATGAATGTTCATAAAAGTGGCATTTCTATGACAGTCTCTTCTCATACCTTCGGACGAAATTCAGATATTACAAGCAAATTCAAATCTATTCTGGATATTTTTAATATTAGGTATATTGATTCTCCTTTGGAATCAGATAGTCAATGTGCACATCTATTTTTAAATGGTGTTGTGGATGGTATAATTTCTGAAGACAACGATATTCTTTTGTATGGCGCCAGAATTTACAAGAACTTTTTCTCCAAGAATAAATCAATACTGGAGTATTCCATAGATAATATTGCCAGAGAAATGAATCTAAACCAAAATGACTTAATATTAATGTCTATGGTTCTGGGATCCGATTATACAGAAGGAGTTAAGAATGTGGGGATTAGAAAGGCATATAAAAGGATTATGGAGTATAAAAGACATTACGAATATACAGCGAAAACTAGGCCAGTTCAAACAGACGAGGATTTCACAAACAACATAATAAGAGATCCAGTATCAGATTCTGAGGATTTATGTGGAGGATTTTTGAGTACCAACAACCTTACTAATAGCCATTGCGGTGTTATCTTGGATGAGAAAACAGATTTAAATCAGGAATTTGCTGGCAAGGAATATTCTCCTGATAAGAATAATTCTTTTCTATCCGATAAGTGTATAATCGGTATACTCAATATAATATGCCCCGAAGTTAACAAAGAACTGGGTCTGAAAATCTATAAAATATATACAAACCCTGTGGCCAAAAGCATTGATTCATTTGTAAATGGTAGAGTAAATGTGGCAAAGTTGAAGCATTTTTTAAAAGAAAATGATGTTGATGAAGGAAAAGCTGAAGAGATAATATTTCATGTTGAACGAGTACAACGTAATTCAGTTGAAGATTGAATATCCTTGTCAACAAATTACTTCAGGGATATTTAATATGTCCTACACATTCTATATCTCATTTTTATACAGTCACCATAATTTTTACTTTAAAATTTGAAATGGATATATTCCCTATTTAAATGGTTCAGATAAAAAAATGCTGCTTGATAGAGACAGAACCAAGTATTAAAGAAGTTATTGCTAAGCTTGGTGAAACCGAAAATTTCATAATATATGATGCCAATGACACTGAAATCTTTATTACTGAGGAGGCTGCTATTACCATCAAAGAAAAGATTGATAGAATAATGAAAGTAAGCAAATAATTAATACATTGGATTAAGAGAATAGATTGAATGTTTTATTACATGTAAACTACATATGTGTTTTGTATTACCACAAGCTTTAAACACAAAATCGATCTATAGTTTCTACCAACCTGTGATATTCATCTAGTAGCAATCCTCAGTGCATTTTAACTTATATCTCTCAGTATAACCACTATTTCCCTCTGCAGACAATATAGTTTATATATTTTGAGGTTTGTATCTCACCGAGTGTTAAGCATAATGAGAGTTGAATATCAATATTAAATCTTTGTAGATTTATATTTATTTATAAACACTGTTACTAAAAATTCATTGGTTCTTGATTGTTTCGATTCAAAAATATTTTTAATTTTACCTACCCAAGTATGAAGGATCTCATTTTACAGAAAACTACACCTGAAAAATCCACAAAAAATGTCTTATTTGTAAACCATAAGCATTCCAATTTGAAGATCAATGAGGAGTCATATGTTTTTGTCGGGAATTCTATGCTTTTTCTTTGTGAATTTGATTCAGAGGTTAATATAGAACATGTTCAAGCAAATAAAATTCAGAGAGAGTTTTTGAATAAAAATTTGGGCTCTGAAATTTCTCTTCTTCCATTCGATTCAAAATATATCGAGGAAATAAAAATTGCTAAATTCAAAGTTGAAGTTCAGGCACTTGTTAATTTAGAGATTGATGCAGTAGAATTTACGGAATACTTAAAGAGGGAAATCCATAAAATCCCCTTAAATTTCAACCAGAAGCTAATTATTCCATATTCCGGAACCAAACTTATTCTTACGGTGGAGGATATTCTGTTTGATGAGCCAAATGCATTTGGTGTTATTTCTGAAAATACGGAAATATTTATTAGCTCTACATCATCAAGAATTAGTATAAAAAACAGTAATCTTCAAAGTAATCTCCTCAAGCCAAACTTCAGTTTTGAAAAGTTAGAAATAGGTGGCCTGAAAAAGGAATTTGAACAAATGTTTAGAAGAGCTTTCGTTCAACGTCTATTCGATCCAGATACAATTAAAAAAATGGGTATACCGCATGTAAAGGGCATTATGCTATATGGACCACCAGGTACCGGTAAGACATTGATTGCTAGAAAATTAGGCTCTCTTCTAAATGCCTTGCCCCCTAAAATCGTTAATGGGCCAGAGATTCTAAACAAGTATGTGGGACAGAGTGAAGAGAACATTAGAAAGTTATTCCATGAAGCAGAGGAAGATTATAAGTCCAAGAAAGAAAATAGCCCATTACACATAATTATTTTTGATGAAATTGATGCAATATGTAAAAAGAGGGGGTCTGATTCCACTGGAGTGGGTGATCAAGTAGTAAATCAACTCCTCAGTAAAATCGATGGTGTTGAAAGCTTAAATAACATTTTGGTTATTGGTATGACCAATAGATTAGATCTGATCGATGAGGCCTTACTCAGACCTGGTAGATTTGAAATTCATCTGGAAATTTCCCTGCCAGATGAATCAAGTAGGCTAGAAATATTCCAAATCCATACCAAACAAATGATTGGAAATCGATTTATGAACGATGATGTTGATCTGAAGCAGCTTTCTTCTTTTACTAAAAACTACACTGGTGCAGAAATTTCAGCGGTTGTAAGGGGAGCAGGTTCGTTCGCTCTTGAAAGGAAGGTTAGGAGTGAAGGGGATAAAACAGTTGTGGAGAACGATAAGATCAATATTACAATGGCTGATATGATGGAGGCATTGAATGAGACGAAACCCGCATTCGGTGTGGATGAAGATGAATATTCAACTTACAGTAAGGTATTTTATGAAACAGACCAGTTTATAGCTGCAATAAATCTGGGAAATGGACTTTTGACTAAATTGAAGAATACCAACCTATACAATACCAGCTCTCTACTCTTGTATGGAGCTACTGGAACAGGAAAGACTACACTTGCAGTTCGAATCGCCATTAATAGCCAGTTTCCGTTTATTAAGATTATAAGCCCTAAGGATTTGGTTGGAATGAATGAATATGAAAAGGTTAATTTCATAAAGGGGAGATTTTCCGATGCATATAAATCTGAGGAATCAATTATTATATTAGACGAAATTGAGTCACTGATAGAGTATGTCAATATTGGTCCGCGATTCAGCAATATTGTATTGCAGGCCCTGAAAATATTTATTAAACATGAGGGGAAAAAGAAGCTTTTTGTTTTTGGGACAACCTCAATTCCTGACGTAATGAAAGAATGTGGGATTTTAGACTGTTTCACAGAAACTACACAGATATATCCCTGTGACAAGCTAGACTATGAAAGATTATCTCTACAGAACTCTGACTTCAATGAAATTGATTTTACACCAGGGTTGACAATGAAGAGACTATTGTCGATGCTGCCTGAAGCTGATAACTCAACCAAGTAAATCAATACTTTTTAACCAAAAAATCCGTTTCAAGGAATTTTTAGAATCTTTTTAATGAATATCTTAGCTAATTAGGTGATTTATATACTATATATAAGTGTTAAACTGTGGTGATATATTCATCTTATTGTAATCAGTAATGCCACCAACAAGCAACTTTTAATTTTTGCTACACTAACTAATTACACAGTTGAAGTGCGAATATTTGTAAAAAATCATTTTACATTTTCAGAATTATTACTAATTCCTTAAAAATAAAAAACCCTATTAGTTTAACAAAACTTTTATTTTCAACACCACCCCCTTGAATGAAAGTCGGCATAAATGGGTTTGGAAGAATTGGAAAAAACATCTACAAAATTCTTGTGAAATCTGGAGTTGAAGTTCCTGTTATTAATGATCCCTTTATTGACCTGGAATATCTAAAGTATCTATTGAAGCATGATTCTGTTTTCTATAGTGAAAGCCAATCGATAGAAATAGAAGGAGATTCTGTGATTTACCAAGGGTTTAAAACAGTTTTAAGTCGAGAAAGAAGTCCAAAAGACATTCCCTGGGAGAAATATGGCATAGACTATGTTATCGAATCGAGTGGTGTATTTTTAGATACAGAAAGTTGTGGAGAACACAAATGTAAAAAGGTCTTTCTAACCGCTCCCTCCACAGATATTAAGATGTATGTTTATGGGGTAAATCACACTGAAGTTGACTTGAATGATAAGGTAATTAGTGCTGCGAGTTGCACAACAAATTGCTTGGCGCCTATTGCCAAACTGATCAACGACAAGTATACAATAAAAGAGGCATTGATGACAACAGTTCATTCTTTGACTGCAACCCAATCTACTGTAGATTCAAAAGGAAAGAAATGGAGAAGTTCTAGAAGTGCATTTAATATTATTCCAGCTAGTACAGGTGCTGCTAAGGCAGTAAGCCATGTAATTCCGGAGTTAAAAGGCAAAATTGATGGAATGGCTTTTAGAGTTCCTGTGCAAAATGCTTCAGTTGTCGACTTAGTGGTAAGGGTTGAAAAGGAGACTAGTTTACAACAGATTGCCGAAGACATTAGAAAACAATCTGGAGTTATTGAGTTGACTACTGAAGAGATTGTTAGCTCTGACATTATAGGAAATTCGAGAAGTTCTATCTTTGATTTGAATGCATCCATTCAACTTAATCCAAAGTTTTTTAAGTTGATCTGCTGGTATGATAATGAGCATGGATATTCCTGCAGAGTTGTAGATTTGGTGAAATACATTGACACCCAAAATAACAGTGAATAAATAAGAAAGATTAAAGTAGTTGTTTCTTTCCACTTGTAGGCCGATTTTTGAAAAATTATAGGAAATTTTCTATTAAATACTTGGCAGCCCTCTTAAAAATGACTGATTTTGAACACTTTTTAGAATTAAACTGCAATCGATCGACATCAAATGAAGAATCTGAGAAATACAGGGAAGGTGTCAGTAATATTAGCTTCTTAGAAAATACAGACCCGAGTGGTTTAAGTTTTATAGATCGTGCAAGATTTTTGTACATTAGGAATTTATGTCTGAAGTCGCCAGAAAGTTTTGATGTTCCAGATGACTTGTCTGTAACTGAAAGGAGTCTAATGTATGTCTCTTTTCTAGACTTCTCCTCAGCCTATAATATTCTGAATTTGGAAATGGACTATCAAATGATCGGGGCTGATGCAGAAAGCAGAGTAGGAAACAAATTTGTAACTACAGTGCTGGATATTACCTTTCCAAGTCTGGAGAAAGAAATATCATACACTCAAAACCATGCTTCTTTTCCTGATTTTAGGGTGTTTAGACTTGATATTTATCAAATGATTCATCTCTATATTAAACTCAAGGAAATTATAGCAACTGAAGAAAATCCATCTCTTTTGGAAGCTTATGTTGAAGCATATGTAAATAGAGCTTTGTTTGATTTGCTGGAAGATAGTTTGGCAACCTTTAGCCATGAGGCTCAGCAATTAGCAGAAACTGGCTCAAAAGATGATAAAGCTCCTGGATCATTTCTTATTGATTTAGACATTAGAATCTACATGGAAATGGTGTTTAGACAGATTTATTCTACTATTTTCAACCAATCGGGAAAATTATCAAAATTTGTCGATTATAAAATCAATATCACAGAAAAAACTTTTGAGTTGCCAATTGTATTTAAATTTGATGTTTTAATTGCCTTAGGCACATCATTGATGAACGAAATTGACTACTCTGGAGCCTACGATATTTTACAAAACTATATTGTCCGTGGCCAAAGAATCACGTGCTTAATTGCCATGAAATCATATGAAAAATGTGTTGATGAGATAAATTCCTACATGTTTAAAATAGGTACCCCCAAAAATAGAATCGACAGTATGAAACTATCCAACTTAAATATAAAACTAGGTCATATTTGTCAAAATCCTGCATATTATGATATTGCAGCAGACATTTTTAAATCATATGAACCATATAAAGCCAAGGGATTGTTTTATTTTAATCAAAAGAAATTTGATTTGGCAGCCCTGGCAATGGAGCAAGCATTGAATCTAGTGCCTGAAAATGAAAAGATTCTTTATTCGTATGGATGTATTTTGGTTGAACTGGATAGGATTGTTGATGCAATAGGTGTTTTTAAAAAATTAAAATTGGAAAATCCCCAAAGTGTAAATATTTCTAAAAATCTTAGCTTCTGCTATTATAGGTTAGAGGATTTAGAAAACACATTGGACACATTGAAATCAATTGCAAGAAATGATCAGAATTCCCTAAAACAGTATTTTTTGCTATCCATAAGAAATTCTCTCAAAAGCAATATTACTTGGGCTCTTCAATTGATTACTTGGGACAGTATAGTTGAGGAGGCATGCTACTATTTGTTGAGCAATAGGACTTTTTCTAAGGATGAGTTGCTATCAGTTCTCTCAAAAAATATCTATTGTGATCATGAAATAATTTCAAGAGTATCACAGTTTTGATAAAGTAATAATTTAGTATAGAGAGATTGTTTGTGAAGAATTTGAGACCGATACGATAGCTACAATGATATGTTTTTGTTTATTTAGAAAGAGCACGTTATTTAACTAGTAAACTATGTTATCCAGAAGATTTTACATGTCTTATAAATGAATCTATAAAGGATATTTCTATGAATACATATATGTTGAACTAATTGTGAAGCCATTAATACACACATCATAAGTAAATGACTTTTCTAAAACCATTAGTAAAAAAGCTTCTTTTCCTATAATTTTTGATATGAGTTTGAAAAATAAGCCCTTTACTATGTCCAAAATTAATTATGTTTTCAACTCGAATTATACAAGAATTTCAATAAAAGAGTACAACCAGATTAAGATTATAGATGCTAATGTTCCAACGGATCAGAATTATTTTGATCATCACAGTCAACTACACAGTGAAATGATAAAAGTTGAGAAAGTTGAAAAGTTGAAATGCACATGGAAAAAAGTATTTAGAGTTGTTCTAGATAAAAAATACACCTATGATATTGGAGATGCTGTTGGTATAATTGCTCCCAATTCTGATAAGATGGTTGATCGCTTGTTAAATATTCTGTGTCTACCAGATCAAAGAATTATCATTGAAAGAACTGGCCTGCAACCTTTCAAATATTGTGGTACTTTAAGAAACTTTTTTAAATACAAAATGGATATTTCAGGAATTCCCCGAAAACTTGCACTTCTTAATCTGTCAAAATCCTCAAACAAACCTGAGCATATGGAATATTTATCTAGCAAAGAAGGTACAAGAGATTATTGTGGACTGGGTGTTGATTGGATTAACTTAATAGATATTATTGAGGAATTTGGCAGTAAACCTACACTGGAAGAGCTGATAATCAACTGTGATTTTATTAAGCCTAGATATTATACACTTATAAATAGAAATGGAGAGAAAGGAGAAATACTTTTGGGAGTACTATCCAAAAATGATAAGTTGGGGCATGTTAGCAGGTATATTGCAGAAAATACAGAGAATATTTCCGAATTACAAATTTCATTTAGGAAAAACATCTTATTAAAGGGTGTAGAAGGAAATCTAACTTGTTTATGCACTGGAACAGGTATTGCTCCATTCATTTCCTTATATAACAATATTCCTTTGGATCACAAACTAAAACTTATTTATGGATTTAGAAATGACGAAGATGATCTCTTTGATATTTATTGCTCAAAAAAATCAAATGTATCGGTTATTAAGGCAAAATCTTCTGATGGAAGGTATGTTTATGAATTCTTAGATGCAATTGAGAGAACAGGCATGTCTGTCCTTGTTTGTGGAAATATAAAGATGCAGAAAATGGTTTTTGAAAAAATAAGGGAAAGAAATCCTGAATTGGTTTCTCTAAAAAAAATATTCTTTGATAATTGGCAGTAATTATGCTTTTATACACACTAGTAGAATTACTTTGGATAGTATCTTTTCTTCTCATTAAACACTATACTTTATTGTCTAAATGAGCTACTAATTTAGAACTGTTAAAACCCAATTATAAATAGTCTTTAAGATAAATTGTTATTTATGTACATTTTCCACAACTTTTAAATCTTAACTTTGGTTGAGGTATGTAATTAAAACATTTTAATCGAGTTTATTAATGTAGGTGGTAATTGAACCATGTTTAACTATTAAAGCAATTAAAATTGTAAGAATTATGCATACACCCATAGCAGCAAATATCTTCCCGATATCAAGATTTCTATTCAACATTTCGCATTTTCCAAAACCCTCATCACACGTATAATTCAATTGGCTGCCATAAATTGACAATGCTGTTATATTTTTTGGTAAACCGTCCAGTCGATTTAGTAGTTCACCACCGCCATACACATAAATGTTTCCTTCTTTAGAAGCAGCAATTACATGCTTTCCATCATTTGCAATGGCTGTTATCAGTGGGAGCCTGAAATCTTTTCCATTTATGTCCAACAAGGAACCACTAGAAAAAGCTGTATAGAATGCAAGATTACCATTTCTACATGTAATTTCTTCTATATTTCCATCAACCTCTGCATCAACATCATCAAACTCAAATACAGATAGCTCCTTCAAGAAGGAGACTTTGTGCAACTTTCCATCTTTTACAAAGGCATCATTCCAGATTCCAAACGAGTCATCTGAATTCTCGCTCACACATATCAGATTGTTACCAACTTTTTTGAGCTTGTTAACCTGCATTGGTTTATCATTGTGCTGTTGTGCCATCTGTATGGGAGATGTATTTTCTACATCATAGAATCCATACATATCATACCCATCCAATAGAATCAAATGCTTAGCCAAGATAGCCTTGGTGAATTTTCTATTT